CACTTTTTACGGAAAGCCATATTTCAGATCCCTTAATCCTACCCCATATCTAATATAACATCAGAATTAATAAAAGCAAATTTCACATTTATTTGGGACAAATCGTCACCTTGGAATTATAAGGTTCTATCTGCTTTCTGAATAATTTTGAGATATTGAGCTTCAAAGTTTTTGCATTCCATAGCAAACAGCATGTGTGTAACATTTGTTTTTTTAAACAAAAAGTTTTAAAATGTAAACAACTAATAAAAAAACATCCCATAATGTAAACAAGTTGTCATTTAATAGGAATATGTCAATAACTCAATTTTGACAAAAATGTCAGATATAATATAACCTTATAATTTAAAGGTGACGAAATGTAGTTAGTAGTTAGTGTGATTCAGTCCTTTGTCATTAAAGTGAATTGGTTTTATTTGCTTTGTTAGATTTTGGGCAGAAAATGCATGACTGAAAGGGTGTTTAGATGGTTAGTTCACTCAAAAATTTGCCATTAAAGTCAATCCAAATCTTGCTTCTGTAGTTCACAAATGAAGATATTTTGAGTAATGTTGGTAACCAGACAGTTTAAAAATGGTACAAAAGTACCATAGAAGTCCCTGCCATTTTGAATTAGGTATGTTATATATAATATATTATTACTCTTATTATATATTAATATATTCTTACCTTTGCTCCTGACGATAGGTCTTACAAAGTGAAATTATCAGTGTGTGCTAGAAAACGAAACATTATTTACAAGTAATTTTCCATTATTTATAACGTTATAATTATATATATTTCGCTTACATGGTGGCGCAGTAGGTAGTGCTGTCGCCTCAAAGCAAGAAGGTCGCTGGTTCGTGCCTCGGCTGGGTCAGTTGGCATTTCTGTGTGGAGTTTGCATGTTCTCCCCGCGTTCGCATGGGTTTCCTCCAGGTGCTCCGATTTCCCCCACAGTCCAAACACATGCGTTATAGGTGAATTGGGTAGGCTAAATTGTCTGTGAGTGAGTATGGTTGTTTCCCAGTGATGGGTAGCGGCTGGTAGGGCATCCGCTGAGTAAAACGTAATGGATAAGTTGGCAGTTCATTCTGCTGTGACGACTGCATATTAATAAAGGGACTAAGCCGAAAAGAAAATGAATGAAAAGTATGAATTTGAGATTCGGCACAAAAATTAAAAAAATATAATAAAACTGCATTTTTTTTCTTAAAAGAAATAAAATAGTAATATATAGTAATATACAATATATATATATATATATATATATATATAGATAGATATATATATATATGTGGCACCAAACCCCACCTCTAAACCCAACCATCAATGGATATAAGCAAATCATGCTAAATTGTGCAAATGAGATCATATGAATTCATACAAATTAGCCACTAAATTAAAAAGTTACATGAGATAGCATTGGTTCTGGTGATGTTGAAAGTAAATGAGAGAATGGGTTCTTCTGCTTTTGGACTGTACCACATC